CTACTCTGATTAATTTGGTGAACTGCTGGTAGTTTTGTCTAAGTTAAATTGAGTTTCTTTCCTCAAGCCAAGTCTGTCTCTTGTCCATAACCATAACTGGTGAGTGTGTCCTCTCTGTCTTTTGTCTTGACTCTCAAACCTTTTGGTTGCATTTTCTCCTCTACATCCCACTGGAAGAGGGTAGGAGTCAGCAAGTGGCTTTCTTCCAGCTGAGTGGCCTTGAACGACAACAGCTCAGCTTGTCAACAGACAAATTCTTGGATGTGATCTTCCATTGCTACCATTTATTTTATTTATTTATTTTTTTACCTAGAGTTATCCCCCCAAATAGAAAAACTGGTCTCTATCAAAACGAGGTTGTGGATGCCCCCTCCCTGAAGGTGTCCAAGGCCAGGTTGGATGAGGCATTGAGCAACCCAGTCTAGTTGAGAGACATCCCTGCCCACAGCAGGGAGGTTGGATGAGATGATCTCTAGGGTCCCTTCCAACCTAAGGCATTCTACAATCCTCTGATGTTAAAATACATTACAAAATATTATGAGGCTTAATACAATTCTGAAAGAAATGAAGCAGAGGGGACACAACAGTTAGGAGACATCACTTTAAATACTATAAGAAAGAGGAAAAAATAAAAAGGATGCATACACATAAAAACAGACCTCATCACATTATCTAACATTCTTTTTTCAACAACTTATGAATACAGGCAAATTTTTACATGTATTAGGTGTAAATTTTGAGATTACATTACGTTCATTTCCTAAACTGTATAAAAATCATTGTACAATTCTACTTAAAAGCAAAACTGTATGAAGAATCTAGCATTAACATAAAGTTTTAATTTTTATATACTTTATGAAGTGTTTTAAAGTTTTGAAGCATCATCTCCAAAACCAAGAAGACAGACATAACCAAACATGCATATTATCTTACATGACTGCGTGTGATGGGCCTAACATACAAAAATCCCCAAATGAACAGGCAATATTAATGAGAATAAACTCATCCCTCAGAATTAGGAGGGCAGAAACTAGCCCAAAATCTCAAGTGTACTTTTTCCTGTCTTTACTCAAAGTGTTTTCCTCATAATTTGAAACTTTATAATTTAAATGTGACAACTGCACAGGTACACAAAGGAAAATAAAAAAATAATCCCCAAATATCAACAGTTCCAGAAATAAATGAAACAACTTCTAACACCAGGAACGACTGTACTTAGGTTGTTACCATGCCATTTAATCCCAGCTAGATGTTAGTGCATGACTTAGTGAAGTTTCTTTGGATATGATATACTGACCTGTCAAAGTTTTCTTCTCCATACGCTTATTTTTCTAAAACATCATTTTAGAATGGAGTCTATCTGGCCTGTTTTTCTACACACAAAAATATCATTCAAAAATGAAATTGCAGCACTAAGCTAATTAATTTTCAACCATGACTTTTCGCAGCAAAAGGAATATTGCTACATAAAATAAGCACATTAAAGTAATTTTTTTTCAATAAATATTTAAAAGACATTCCCTAAAAAAAAAAAAAAAAGTGGAACAGAAACAAAGGACTCCAAAAGAAAACATTTTTGGTGTTTTCAAAACAACTATAGATTTGTTAAGTCAGAGGAATAGATGCCATTTGCCAAATGAAAAAAGGGTCTGCTTCAAAAAGAAGGATCACATCACATCAACTGTATTGTTCTTTGAAAAAACAGGCTGCTGAACTTCCAGAAAGGGTTGATGATGGGAAAAATGTGTATAACCACAACTAGAATTTTCCAGCAGCAACACATTACTTTAAATGTGACTATGTGGTAAATCAAAGAAATAGCAGAGGAGAAGTAAGATCCAGTTCTTTGTGAATCATCAAAACCAGTTGTCTGTAGATAGACCAAACACCAGAAGTCTTATCAGCCAAACAATCTGTCCAAAGAATTAAGTTCATACTCAGAGTGCTACAACCCAGGCACTATTTTTCCTTCTGAAATGAAATGTTCCTGCTCTGATTTGCAAATAAGAGAACATCACCAACTAAATGGAAGTATTCATTTCACTGTTGATGGGTTTTCACAGCATTAGGAATTAGGGTTTGATATTTTTTAAATGAGAAATTCATTAATTTCTACAACATACTGCAATGGGGTTGCAGCAAAAATTTAGATTTATAGGATTAAAATGACCAGTAATTCTACATTACAGTCAAAATCATGTATTACCAACAAGCATAAAATATATTGTAAATATGCAGTGCCTCACATTTAGAGGTGAGATGAGGTGTTAAAAGTTGAGTTCACTATATATGACTATGATCAGAAAAAGGGAAAAAAATAAGACTAACATACCAACAAAACCAAAACGAAACAGACACACGTTGCCATTTGCTTTCTTCCTCCCTAAATAAGCAAGGAATTATAATGCTAATGAATTTATGCAACTTTATGGTTGCAACACTGCACACAAGTCAAGAACACGAAAATCACACTTCCAACAGCAATTCTAACTCAGCTACTTTTTGTATATAAAGAAGTTAGAATTACAGCATGTTATTCTGCCTCTTAAACACAAGAAATACCAAAGTGGGAATGTGGGAATCATAACTCTAATTTTACCAGCTTATATGAATTCAATATCTCAAAGGGACCCTTAAATTAAATATCCAAACAACTCAGTAATACTAGTTAATAGCAATTTGTTTATTCTATTTATGAACCCACTGCTGCCCCTTTACTGTCTCTGGTTGTTGTACTAACATATGGAAATAACATTAAGAATGTGGAAATACTACACGCTCTGTTCAATCTTGATTTTTTTAAAGCTAATTTTATTATATGAAATACTGAACTTTTTACTTTTCCCTTTTACACAAGCATAAATGTGGTGTCATGGGGCGACAGTCTATTGTCCTCCATCTATTAAATGCTAACACTATAGCAAAGACTTGGAATTCTGCCCTGCCAATTAGGAACAGTGATTATCACTACCATTCAGTTCTTCCATTTTCAGTACTACCAAATTAAGTATAAGTTTTTTTTTTTTTACAGCTGCAATGAAGAATTTTTGTGACTGGTCTGGAACACCATTCACTTCACTCGATGATAACTCAACTCAAAGAAAATATCTGTAATATGTTTTATATTCCTACTTTATCAGAAAAAAAACTCAAAGTGTATTTTATTGAAACAATTTTGTGACACCAAAACATAACTGTTGCCCTTGACTGAGTCAGAAATCAATAGGAAATGGCTTAGTTTACAAATATTAATCAAATCTCTCAGAACTAAGTACAATAACTTCCTCCAAAAAGAAGTTAGTCTAGTCTAAAAATCACCTTGTTAAAGATCTGACCGGCTTTTATAACCTCCAGGTCAACTTTTGAGAGTCCCCTAGGTCACCAGTGCCAGAAGTCAGTTAATTAGCAAATATAAAGGTGCATGAAATAATCCATCCTCATGGAAAATACAGTTAGAACCATCTCATGAAGCATCTGTTTTACATATTACACTCAAATATTAACACAGAAATTTCATTTAAGGGAAATTAAGTCAATGCACACCTAATGTTTAGGATGCCAGAACCAGTTCACTTGGAAGTCTTACCCTGAGAGTTCCAAAAAGTTATGCTAGCCATGACTATAGGCTGCTTTTAAGCTTCTCAAGTCAACAGCACTAATAACCAGCTGTTTCTAGTGGGAAAAGAAATGCTAGCAAGACAGACATCTGTACTGCATAGCTGCCAGACTGACTCAGTGTGTGGCCACAGGTGTTGACCCTAGTGTTGTAGGAGCCAAAGGAGAAAGACAAAAGGAATTGGCATTAAAAGCTGTACTAACAGAAGGCATCCAATGTTCAGGTTTCAGGGAAGTAATTTTAACTGTCTGCTCTTAGAAGCATGGCTCACTTTTCTTCTCTGATTCGATTTGGGCTATATCCAGAAGACAACAAGAGGAAGTGCATGAGTTTTTCTGCAAAAGGTTATGACCCTTTCATTGCCATTCTTTAAAACTGTAGTACCAAACTCAAAGGGATATGGTACAGAGACTAACACTTGCAAAGCTCACCAACACTTCCACTACTTTAATACTTCTGCTTGAAGAGCATCGTGAAAGTATTAAAAAATAAAATTCACTGTTTCTATTGTCAAGAGTGGTTGATGATTATTAACTATATATATTACGATATTTTATAAATGAGAAGGTTTTTAATCAAAACTTATTTTTATAACATAGCTAAGCAAACATTTCTGTTATTGACTAGGACGTTACACACAAGGAAAAAAAATACCCAACACTATTAGATGATTATATTAGCATAAGTTCTAGGAAGCACTACAGCCAGGGACTCAACCCAAATTATTACAGTGACCCTTAAATAGCAATGGGAAACAATGCAGTAGCTACTTAAAAACATCAACGCCAGCAAAAACACCTAAGTGAAGCTGAATTACCAACAGGGAACTTTTGAAACGTTGTACATCTAGAACATTTAGTTTGTCCTGCTAGAACAGGGGAAGAAGACTGAAAACTTAGTAAAAACTTGTCTTGTATGTCAGATTTCACACATGTGTTTAATGAACGATGTTGATTTTTGCAGTGGAAGCAGTTCTAATTCCATTGTCTAGCATATAATTACACTTCAGAGATTTTTATTATGCAACACAAACTATTCCATCTTCAGGTCAGCTCATACTTCACAAATAACTGGCCGTAGGTGCTCTCGAACATGCTAAACACCCATCTACTGTGAAAAGCATTTTTTTTGACTGTTCTATGAAATAGATCACAATAAGGATGAGTGATCCAAGTTACAATAATGTACTTATGCAAATGGGCTACTTATATATTCCCACTAATGCTGAAAGTCAGACTCTGATCTAAAGACCTTATAAATTCTTAAGACTTAAAAAGCTTTGGAGCAGGCCTGTAGACAGTTAACAGATTATTGGTAGGACATAAATATACTCTATACAAAACCACTCAGAAAAAAAACTAAGATACTAAAGGAAACAAATTACCTGGAGCGTCTTGTAATGATCTTGATGTGAAATTACTCCTTTTTTTTCCTTCAGGAAATTCATCTCTAGAATACTGTGTTTTTCCAGTAAACATTCTAACTCCTATAAAGTTTACAAAAGAAAGTATGTAAAGTTACAAACATTTGCAAATTATAAAAACACAGATTCAGTTCATCTTTGCAACTCGTTCATCTCTGAAGACTATGACATTTGCTATCATAATATATACAGAAATAAAAGGTTGTGCAAGAAAACTCTGACTGCGGCCTATTAATTGAGACATATTCAAGAAGTATAAGGTATTTAAAATCAAAAGCATGTCCTGGAAGGCATGTCCTGTGAGAAGTGGCTAAGGTCACTGGGTTTGGCTAGTTTGGAGGAGACTGAGGGGCAACTTCCCTGCTCTTTACAGCGTCCTGAGGGGGTGAAGTGGAGGGGGAGGTGCTGATCTCTTCTCCCTGGGATCCAGTGTCAGGACACATGGGAATGGTTCAGAGCTCTGCCAGGGAAAGTTCAGACTTGACATTAAGAAACATTTCTTTACCAAGTGTCTGGACAAACACTGGGACAGACTTCCTAGAGAGCTGGTTGATGCCCCAAGCCTGTCAATGTTTAAGAGGCATTTGGGCAACGCCCTGAATAATATGTTTGAACTTTTGGTGAGCCCCGAAGTGCGCAGGCAGTTGGACCAGATGATTGTTGTAAGTTCCTTCCAACTGGAATTATTCTACTCCAATTATTTCCATATTATTTAGTAGTTTGTTCTGTCTTTCAGCATTTGAAAAGCAGCATATTTAAATATACTTTTAGGAAACGTTTTCACTACAAAGGCAGAAGTTCCATTATATATAGTCCTAATGATCTCTACCTATGTTTCCAAAAGGAGTAAAATTTTAAAATAGCCTGTGATCTTGTAGAAAGTCAGTCTAGAAGCCTGCCCAACATGAACCAATAGAGAGTGAGGACAATGACACTACTGACAACAAACTGCAGAATTATTTGCTATACAAAGAGCTAAAGACTTTGTTTTTCTTAATGCAGCTGTTGCTTCTACCAAACTCATTCCTACTACACATAAGCTGTTGGCATCCTTTCAGTTGCTCAGGAACTCCTATTTCTGCAGCCACACAGGAAGCTAGTATAGAAACAAATGACCTGCCAGACCACTGTACAGCTATTCAAACAAAGGCACAACTGAGAGGGTCATAAGGAGGACAGAAAGAGCAGGTCTGCTTAGCTCAATCCTGCTTTTGGACAAAATAATAAAACAGTTCCTGAGATTCAAAGTCTTTGATTCAACTGTAGAGACTGGCTGTGCAGAACTCCCTCAATTCAGAGGCTAGCTTTCAGCCTGTCTCCCCTTATAGTCTGTAATCATCTCTCCCTTCCAGTCCTCCTCTATGCACTTAATTCCTACCAAAATAAATCCATTCCAGACCTCCTCATCTTTGGCTCTAGTTACTCATCCTCATTTTCATTCCAAACAAGCCATTTTCTCCTTCCACAGCACACCTTCATAGCTATCAAGGAACTGTATCAAAAATAGCAAAAATTAAACTCACTCTCCCATGCCCCAGTGACCTCAGTACTCAGACACATAACTACAGACATAGACCTTCTTGGCACTCTACCATATTCAAGTCAGAAGGGGTAGTAAGAAGTTAGTTACCAGAGCTTCCAAAAAAAAAAAAAAAGAGAAGAAAAAAAAAAAAAAGTGTTACATGTTATGTTCATAAAGATATCCAAAGATACTTTCAACTTTAGTGACCACACAGTCACTCCCAAAACATGGGGGAATCACTATGTCTTCTAACCTCATGGCTCCATGTTAATAAAACTTTTTTTTTTATTTTATATTTCCTTATCTTTTTTTCCTCCTCCAAGAAGAAATTTTTTTTCCCTGAAACTTTAGAAAAATTCAGTCTAAAACAGACACACACACACAAAAAAAAGTATTTTGGCAAAATTTGGCCAAGTTCTCTAGAATTTGGCTACTTTCTATGAAAAATTAAATGCAAATCTCTGCCAACTCAAACTACATTTAAAATCTGTACAAATTCCAAAAGTTTTCATTTAAAAAAAAATTATTCATACCTTCTTGATTTTTAATTTTTCTTCTTCAGCAGTAGAAAGCTTGATCTCTAGGTTTGTGACAGCTTGCTGAAGGTAGCTCTTCGGTTCATTTTTTCTCTCTGTATCAGCAATGGTTGATGCACCTGAAGTCTTGTCTTCAGTCACATTCAAAGAGGCAACTGGAATATCTGCTTGAAGCTAATTCATACAAGAAACAAAATGGTCACGAAAATGCTAAAGAGAATTGAACATCCCAGTCAAGTCCAATTTAATTTTCAGAGGATATTACAGAACTTAAGAACTGTAAACATTAAGGTTACTGTTTTGAAACCATGCTTTTCTGAAATGGCCCATGCACATTCTTATATGTAGGGTGTGCTGGCCAAAAAGAAAGCTCCAGCAATGCAACAGTACCTAGTAATTCTAGGTGGATTCACATCAGTCCTTCTGATCTCCTCCACTAACTGCTTTTCAGTAATAGTTTAGGAGAAGGCTTTAAGAAGGAGGATGGAATGGAATATTTTGGTTTCCAATGAGGTCAAAATACTCAAAAGAGGTGAAGAGAGAGAAGTGAAACTGAATCATGTGTCTCAAAGCTTCAGGCTTACATGGAATTAAACTCTTCTTGGATTAGTCACTCCATGTTTTCATGCAATACAGACTGCAAACAGTAGCCATGGAAAGGCAATACAAATTTTTGTGCTAAAATAAATATCTTATCTTGAGGTTAGACCATCAGAATAAGAGCACATCCCAATGGACATGTCTACAATATTTAGTTAATGTTATTTCAGTGAACTGTAGAAGTACAAAATCTGAAACGAATGCTTCAAGAATACACGACCCAAAACAGATGAAACACTGATAATAAGTCTAGACTTTCAGAAAAGCACAAAAATAAACTAGGTGAGGTTGAAAATATTTTGTGGTATAATTAACACAAGCCAAAGCAAAAAAAAAAAAAAAAAACCCAAACCACTTTGTTAAATTGCAGCATAGGAACTTCAAAGGAAAAAGTTAATAAATTAATTTCAGCTGCCACTTTTTCAGCAATTTGAAAGCCAAGAACACTTCAGATTTGGTGTGGGGTGATGAAAAGAACATCAATGTGTTGATTACAAGTGGTTTGACTAATCTGATTTAACCCATTCCCTTAACACCTTTTATTCCAAACAGACACTTAAATAACATACTGACTTTCCAATAAATAAGTACCTCTCAAAGGATTCAAAAGAAAGAAACAAATAAAAATAGTTGAGATCTTGACTGTACATGGATACATGAGATCCAGTAGACAGACAGCCAGAAAGAAAGCTGCAATTTGTGCTCTGAATTCCTTTTCTGTAGGAAGCAAAGAGAAGCTTGAGGTGCTAATTCTACTTTTGAGTACTACTTAAGATTAGTCTGACACTGCCAAAAATTGTGATGTTGGAACCTGAAATGTTCAGCCTCAAGAGGCTCTGGAGGTACAATTATAGAAGAGTACAATTCTCCTAACACCCTGCTCTAACAGATGTAAGAATATTTTATTATAATTTTGTGCCCACCATTTTCCTTTAGTTTATCCAAAAGTACAAAGTCTGATCTCCATTTCAAAATAATGTTAAAGGACCTCCTCTCAACTCCCTTTCTTCCTTTACTAACACTTGCTGCTGTTGTATTCTTTAGTCTGCATTATTTCCTGCATTAAAAAGAGAAGTTTATGGAACCATGGACCTGTCAGTAGCTGTCTAGAACAAGAAGAAAAGAACTGAAACACAGCCTACAACTAGAACTGGCACACAATTATTCAGAAGCAACAAAATTTATTTCTTATTTTTGGTAAGATCACCTAACTAAATGACTTTTGAGTTTTAAAACATACACCTAAGCTTTGGTATTTTGGAATATCCAAAACAATCTTTCCAGCAAACACGCAAGCTGAAAAGTTGCTGGTCTAGCTCAAAGAGGAAAGGACACAGGTTATCCACATTGCACTGGCAGTCAAATCAAAAAGGGTAGAAATTTACATATCAAAACATTGTCAGAGAGGCTGATGAAGAACTATCAACACAGAAAATGGCCCTGGCTGACATCAGTCAAAAAAGAAAACAAACACTGTGCACCCCCCAAGGAAAAACAAACAAGGAAACCAACAGGAAAACCCAAAAAAAAAAAGAAAATTTCTTTGGTATCAATTGCATCTGGGCACACGTCCACTTTTTATAGTCTGGGAAGAAATACAAAACAATAACTAATTAATTACTAAGACTGAGCTCTTGGAGCTGCACTAGCTACAGTCTTTCTGGAAGTGTGAACACAGGCGCTGATCACAGGAGAACCAGTAAGAGTCAGTTTAACCAAATCAAGTCTTTTATACAAGTTGTTTACACAGTTCTGGTGAAATGTTTTTGAATGATCAGATTATGGAAATCTGATTTAACTGTGAAATTCAATTTTCACCATAGACAGCCCTAGAACTTGATGAGACTACTTGAAGAATAAGAAAACAAGTGCTTGCCGAAAATGGGAGGGCTGCAAACTAGCCCAGAGTATTGGTTGGTTCAGAGAAAGACAAGAGCATTTTCTCATCCAGGTGCATACTACTATGCACCCTGAAACAAGGAACCTTCCAAATTTGTTCATACAGGTGTCACTGCAATCGATGGCAATAAAAAGTCACTGAGAAGGGTAAATAAATTTAATTCTCACGCACAGTAATCTAGCATTCTTCTGCTAATTTACAGGCAGATACTCTTTTCTCTTCCTTGTTCACCTAATTGTTTAGTTCAAAATTAAATACTATCACCTCCTAAAGTGAAGCTGAGTTCTCAGCAGTGTTGCAGCCACATGGAGAGATCATGATCACACAACTAGGACTGCGTCAGATCACAAAAAGTAATAATTTAAAAAAAAAAAAATAAAAGTAATGGGGGAAAAGGGTAAAATAAAATAACTAATTATAATTAACTTGAGTTCTAAGTAAAGATTATACATGAATTCTCTAATCGTAAAACCACTCTAGAAAACATACAACTATGACATACATGTACAGACATAATCTTACAGCTTTAATAGTAACAATTTTTTTTTTAGAGAATCTTCCTGCTATTGTTTTCCACTTTCATGCCTAGCAATATATTTCTAACAACCCCTTAACACACTCACCTCTCTTGCAGTCTGTACCAAAGCAGTATAGTGTCTCTCAGTTACAGGATTCAAACATAAATTAAAAAATATTTTACTTCAAAGTTTGCATCACAGAAATCCAAGGGCCTTTTGCTCTTAAAAGGCAATTCAATCTAAATTTGCAATCTAAATTTTTAAATCAAAAAGACAAAACGCTAAGATATTTAGCACATCAAGTTCCCATAGCTAAACACAGAAGTTGTGGGTTTACCTGTTCTTCAAGAGCAGCTGAGTTTATAACAGGAGCTGTTGCCACGTTATCACTTGCTAAACTGAACGAGTCAGAAGGAACCAGGCAGGAGGAAGGCACAGGGTGCTCCAGAAGAACATCAGGAGGTATGTGGACTTCAGATACTAATGCAAAAAATAAAACAGAAAGCAAATACACAATATGAAGATGTTTTCAACAAGTAATTCAATTTCTGAAATATGTGCCTGGCAAAACCCAGCAACAAGTAGAGTCATATTAATGTAAGGTTAAACTCTCATCTAACTGCACTGAACAATAATTCCATAGAAAGTTCCTGCATTTTTGAGTACTATCAAATTAAGGACATGCAAAATTGTGTAGTCACACTAAATTCAGACTTGTAATTTACACAGAAGTTTTGCAAGACAACTTCCACCAAAAGCAGCAGTTTTAAGTAGTCTCTTTCTATTTACATAACCTTTCAGCTTCAATATGATCTTTAATCAGTTTAAGTCAACCATAAAACCATATCTTACAGTTTCCTAAATTTTATAAATTGTATCATTTTTATAAATGTTCTAAATTACAGATTAAAAAATCCTCAGTTGTCGTAGAAGACATATACAAACATCTTACCAAGAGGCATCATAAAAGCATTTTTACATTTAATAAAGGGATCAAAAGCAAATAAAGTAAATAACTCTCAAGCTAATAAAACTTAAGTGTAGGTACTGGAGTGAGAGCTCTTCCATAGCACTTTTGAGTTATGCCATAAAAATCCTGAACAGTGGGTCATCATTATCAACCCCAAACAACAGAAGCTTGAGCACTTTCACAAAAGATTGAGACAGAAACCCAATTTTTAAAAAGGGGAAGGGAAAGCTTTGCATACATTGTTAATTTAACAGCAAAGTCCTGCAAACTTGGATATGGTCAGCTACAGGTATGCCTTTGCAGTAGACTCAAAAAGCATATCCAGTTGCTTTAGAAGCAGCTCAAATCATCATCATAAATTCAGGTTAAGATAGAGGAACATGCAAACCTCATATAACAAAAAGATGAAAGAAAATAGTACACAACACAGAAAAATATCAGGATGCTAACTGCAGAAATGGTAGATTCAGATGTGTGGAACAAAAAAAAAAAGCCAAACCCACCAGCTGAGCAGCAAACAGAAAATGGATGAAAAGCCCAGGGGACACTAATTCAGCAAACAGAACAGGAATTGGTTTAGGCAATCAGGATAAAATAAAGGACTGGGGCACAACTGCACCTTCAACAGTAAAACGCTTCTCCAGAATTAGAAATTGGACTTTTCAGGCTTCCTGGGTGTACCATAAAGACGTGAAACTCCTCTCCCCTTCCAAATGTCTTAGAAAAGCAGCTTCCTATAACCATTACCTACTCAGTTAGTTCAAATGACATTGACATGACAGAGGTGACCCTTTTTCTTCTAAAAAAAACAAATCTCTGTTTTATGCTATCACTTAGTACCCTGAATTTCAGTTTTAAATCAATTTCCAGCAGATGGGAAACCAACTAAAATAATGCACCAGGCAATTCTGACTGAGCAGACAATCTGTTTCTCTTACCATAACTGTCTATACTGGTGTTAGTGTTCATCCTTTGGTGATGATCACCACACTATAGGCATAGTCCACATATAAAATATTCATCACAAAAGTAAACCCAGAAAATAAGTCTGGATACAGACGAGGAATGGAAACTCACAGAGATTAAAGCTTAAGTGATACACATGTTTTTGGGTGTCTAATACTAGACATAAAACTGTTTTTCAGATAATACAGCTTTATGTGGAACCCTCTACAATCAAATTGAGCTTTCAGTGATTGCATTTCTGATAACAATGTTCAGGATTTTAAGGGAGGAAGGAAAAACAGAAGCAAACCCCCCACCTTTGAAGTTAAAGTAAAACCTATGAAATGAGGAGTAACAACTGCTGAACACCTTTGAACAGTGTGGTTTAAAATTATTCAACTAAATACATGACTTTGCAGAAGAAACCTACAGACAACTGGGAGCACCCCTCCACTGAGGATGACAAGATCTCCACACCACTTTCTGTTTCCATACCCCATCATGGAGCTAAATGCATCTGGAAGCACCCCACAGCCAAAGACAAAGGGATCACCCCACCCCTCTCTGTCTCCACTGATCATTATGGTCCTCCAGGCAGCTGGAAGCTCATCAGAGTCATGGCCAAAAGCAGCACCAGACCTTCAAACACCTCTGTACCCTACTACCATCTGCCATCTCCATACCCTACCATTACACACAAGTAGAAGCTCCTCACAGATAAGGACAAAGCTATCTGTGTACTGTTCATCTTCTCTGGATCCCATCATGTGCTACAGGCAGCTGGATGCTCCTCACAGCCATGGACAAAGGAGTCTCCACACCATCTACCAGCTCCATATTTCACTTCCTCCATACTCCATCATCTAGAAGCTCGCCACAGCCACCAACAAAAGGAACCTCCCCACCACCTTCCATCTCTGCACCCCTTCATAGCCCCACAAGCAGAGAATCACCACGGCTGTGAACGGAGTAACCACCTCAAGGACATCAAGTTCCTCAAAATAAAGCTGCTAATTCATGAACCCATGGGATGGTTCTTCCAGTTTCTGCTGTCTTTTTTGGTAACCTTTTGGGGTTGTTCCTTCCTGTCCTTGTCCCCTTATATTTATGCACCTTTAAATATGTGTGTGTACATACTCCCACGATATGCACATCTGCAAAGACACATGTAACCCAGAGGAACCCCTGTGGGTGGAAGGCACCAGGGCTGGATGCTGCAGGGCTCCTCAGGAGCCCTGCACAGGACAGCAGACAAGCTCAAGCAGGGACACTGAGAGCCAGTTGCCCAGGACCCTGTCCAGACAGCTACTGAACATCTCCAAGGATGTGGAGACTCCACCACCCCCCTGGGCAACCTGCACCGCTGCTCAGACACCCAACCTGTCAACTTGACGAGCATTCTTCTTCTAGAACCTAGCCCCCAGACCCACAAATCTCAGCAGCACAAGTCTTTAAAACTGGACACTAGATAGGCCCTGCTGCTTTTAATTTTATCCTCACCTTTGCTGAGCTGCTGCTCTTTAAACTCCTGCCACAGCTACTCAGTTTCACTCCCCAGCATGATCAGTTGTTATTATTTTAGTAAAATTTGTTTCTTCTTGCTTGAATCGTCCATGTCACAGGGATGCACCAGTGCTGGTGATGTCACAGCAGGCAGAACATTGGTGGCTGCCCATCCCACAGGGCAGCTGGTGACACATCCAGCCCTGGATGGGCACACAACAAGGGCTGTGCCAAACAGGAGAGTGCAGACTGGCTCTTCTTCCCTCTCTTGTTGCTGGTTTTGTGCATCCCAGCTGGACACGCAGAGAGAGGTGGGACCAGAACACAGCATGCTCCTGTCCTCTCTGTCTAGAGCTAAGTATCCTGCCTGTATCCCAGCACAGTCATGCAGGGAGCTGGAAGCTCCTCACAGCCATGGACAGAGGGAGCTCCCCACCCATCCTTTCACCCTGGAGAGCTGTGGGTTGGGCCCCATGTAAGCTCCTGGCACCATCACAAGTGATGCAGTGGCCAGAACACTGGTGGTGGCCCATATCACTGGGGGGTGGCTGGCACAGCTGGCATAGGAGGGGTGTCTCCTGGCCATCAGGGGTCATGGGATGGACAGCCCAGGCAGGAAGCTGGGAGAGGCTCAGCCAGGGAGGCAGGGGAGAGCTGAAGGGATGGAAAGTGACTGCAATGGTAAGTGACTGCTTTGGATGTTGACTCTCTCCCCTGCCCCCCCAAATCTCTCTGATTTGACAGATGCAGCCATGCAGACAGACAGATCCAGACCAAAGCATCCGCTCCTCATCCAGAGAGCGCCACACCTGTCCACAGGAACATGCACCAAAGGGTAAGGAAAAAACCACACACAGCCCCAGTCTGAACTGCAGGGTGAACCTACAGGCAGCTGGAAGCTCCCCACAGCCGAGGACAAAGGGATCTCTCCACCACCCACCATCTCCAAACCCCACCCGCCCACCGTCTCTGAACCCTGTCACGGACCTACAGGCAGCTGGAAACGCCCCACAGCCATGAACAAAGGGAGCTCCACACCACCCTCCATCTCCACACGCCACTGTGGTCCTACAGGCAGCTGGAAGCTCCTTCACAGCTGAGGACAAAGGGATCTCTCCACCACCCACCATCTCCAAACCCTGTAATGGACCTACAGGCAGCTGGAAACACCCCACAGCCATAAATAAAGGGACCTCCACACCACCCATCATATCCACATGCCACTGTCATCCTACAGGCAGCTGGAAGTTCCCACACCCAAGGACAAAAGGCAGAACTGCACCACCAACCATCTACGTAGCCCATCACCTGCCCCACAATCCATCACAGGTCTCCAGGCATAAGCTAAGCTCCCCACAGCTAAAGCCAAGGGGTTCCCCAGGAACCAGCTGTACAGGCCTGCAGACAAGCCACCTCCTTTTTATTGGCTGAATATAATAGAAGAATAAAAGTCTTACAAAACTCTGGTTTTTGTGGTCATCTCCACGTGTCTTTTTAAATAAACTGGGCTGAAACTTCCTGCACTAATGTTTCACAGCTCACCCACACGAAATCCTGCATCCCACAGAGTACTCACATCCATGAACTCAGAGGTACCTTATGCTGCACAGTTCCAAATCACACAACACAAGTCTTCATGCTAAAGTCTTATTTCTGATATCTGAAAGGGAAGAGTTCAAGCCACATGTGCTTAATTACAGGTATCTCAAAAACCATATGACCAAGAAGGCTGGAATAAGGTGCAAATATAAGATATTGGCAGAAATAGACTTTTAAAAAAAACCCCAAACTATAATTTCTGAACCCTTCCCAATATTAAGAATATTCTATCAAAAATTTGCATATAAGAAATTACAAAACCATGCAGTTTGTCAATAGAAACAGAGATCAGTGACAGCCTGCAGTCTTGCTCATGCAAGAAAAATTCTGTATCTTTATCCCAGTAATGAAGCTCAAACAACTGTTAAAATCACTGGGGGATCAGGAATTCTGGAAACAAAACCAAGCAGACAAATACAGAATCATAGAATCACAGAATGGTTTGACTTGGAAGGCACCTTAA